GGGACGGCTAGCGCAGATAGCCCTCGTGTAGCTTTGCGCGAAATACAAAAACAAACAAACACAGATTTGTCAACAACAAAAAAAATGTTTTCCCAGCGAATAATATTTCCAAGGGCATAAGCGAGTACTATTTCCAAGGGCATTAACTCTTGCGAGACAATTTTAGTAACTGAGAAACAAAATGTTTAGACTGTAAAGTCACATAAGATAGTAATTATCAAATAAACTGAGTGATATCTCTCAGGAACGTCTTTTTAAATTACCAATGTATATTAAATGTGAGGCTTAGGTGTTATCCTGATTACGGTACATATTAGATAGGAAATTTTTAATTACTGGCGATACGAAATATAGTGGAACATATTTATTTCTTGCCCCCAGCGGTATGTCTGCGAACTAACAACTTACTGTGTTTCGATACCCGTGGTGGGCGGAGCACAGATAGCCCATTGTGTCGCTTTGTTACAAATAATAAATCTGTTTCTTTGTAACCTGGGCAGACTCATATCTATTACTGTAGATGTTTAGCTTTTATAGATTTAATATTCTTACAAACTTGTCCTTCAGTGTCGAATCCCTACCTCTATTAAACATTCCATCTACATGTGCGATAGTAAATATTATATTATATACATTACAATATAATTACCATCAGACAAGATGACTATGCAGCAACATGCAATCCCTGTGAATATGGTTGATAAAAATTGGGGCCATTTACGACCCCACCGATCAATAAGGTAGCACATGAGGAAATGGCCAGGAAATTCCACAATACCAGACATCACGAACGTAAAGCGTGCATCAAACCACATTCTAGGAACATACAGAGAAAGTCCTTTGCAAACAGTTTCGTTTACAGTGCTATATATATATAGAAAAGAAATACAATTATTTATATTAAACATGATATGTATACAAAAGAAACATGATTATTTAGATTAAACATGATATATATATATAATAAACACAATTATTTAGATCAAACTTGATATATATATAAGAAACACAATTATTTTGATGATACATGATGTGTATACAAAAGAAACACAATTATTTAAATTAAACATGATATATATACAAAAGAAACATGATTATTTAGATTGAACATGATATATATATAAAATAAACACAATTATTTTGATGATACATGATGTGTATACAAAAGAAACACAATTATTTAAATTAAACATGATATATATACAAAAGAAACATGATTATTTAGATTGAACATGATATATATATAAAATAAACACAATTATTTAGATCAAACTTGATATATATATATATAAGAAACATAATTATTTAGATTAAACTTGATATATATAAAAGAAACACAATTATTTAAATTATACATGATGTGTATACAAAATAAACACAATTATTTAGATTAAACTTGATATATATATAAGAAACACAATTATTTAGATTATACATGATGTGTATACAAAAGAAACACAATTATTTAGATTAAACTTGATATATATAAGAAACACAATTATTTAAATTATACATGATGTGTATACAAAATAAACACAATTATTTAGATTAAACTTGATATATATAAGAAACACAATTATTTTGATTATACATGATGTGTATACAAAATAAACACAATTATTTAGATTAAACTTGATATATATAAGAAACACAATTATTTAAATTATACATGATGTGTATACAAAATAAACACAATTATTTAGATTAAACTTGATATATATAAGAAACACAATTATTTTGATTATACATGATGTGTATACAAAAGAAACACAATTATTTAAATTAAACATGATATATATATAAAAGAAACACAATTATTTAAATTAAACGTGATATATATATAAAAGAAACACAATTATTTAGATTATACATGATGTGTATACAAAAGAAACACAATTATTTAAATTATACATGATGTGTATACAAAATAAACACAATTATTTAGATTAAACTTGATATATATATAAAAGAAACACAATTATTTAGATTATACATGATGTGTATACAAAAGAAACACAATTATTTAGATTAAACATGATACATATACAAAGAAACACAATTATTTAGATTAAACATGATATGTATACAAAAGAAACACAATTATTTAGACTAAAAGTGATATATATATATATAATAATAAACACAATTATTCAGATTAAACATGATATATATACAAAGAAACACAATTATTTAGATTAACCATGATATGTGAACTTCCTATTGATTTAACAGTTTGATATCCAGAAAATAAAACAGTGAAATTAGCCTTGTAGCTTACTGTCTGAAATAATAACTATTGTTACCAATTTAAATAATTAGGCCCTAATTGAAAACTGAAAAAATACAAACATAGTTCTATGTTTCTCCAAACTCATGTTTATACGAATGTTGCAATAAATTCATGTTTATACGAATGTTGCAACAAATTCATGTTTATACGAATGCTGCAATAAATTCATGTGTATACGAATATTGCAACAAATTAATGTGTATACGAGTGTTGCAATAAATTCATGTGTATACGAATGTTGCAACAAATTCATGTGTATACGAATGTTGCAACAAATTCATGTTGCTGCACATTAATTTCTGTACGAAAAATCTGTAGAAGTAAATATATACTATTTTCACACTACTTTTTTAAAAATATTTAGTCTTCATTTTAACGGAAACTAAAATTATGGCATCTGCTGTCTATTCAATTATAGGGCCCGGCATGGCCAGGTGGTTAGGGAGCTCGACTCGCAACATGCGGGTTCGAATCCCTGTCCCACCAAACATGCTCGCCCTTTCAGCCGT